CTGTCTCTAACAGAAATGCTGAGTGGGTCATTCATTCTTGGAGTGTGTGACCGAAACACCTACACACTGATCTCACACACAGCTCAACCTTTGTGTGGGAGTCGGTATAACTTTTTAAGTGCGTCCATGTCTATTTGTTTTTTTCCCCACTGTATTGTTTGTGTTAAAAAAAAAGTTGAACTATTCCTCTTTATGTTTCTATTCTATCGTCCAGCCCTCATCGCTTCCTTCCTCTCCACCTCTCACTTCCTCTCTTTAGTCAACGTTTATTTTCCAGCCCTAATCACTTCCTCTCCTTTTCCTCTGTTCTCTCTCTCTCTCCTTTAACCTCCCAACGGAAAAATATCTCTCACTACTCTTTTTTCGCTTGTACAGCCCTGTGGACAAACACACACACACACACACACACACACACACACACACACACACACACACACACACACACACACACACACACACACACACACACACACACACACACACACACACACACACACACACACACTTTGTGTTCGAGCACTATTTTAAGAGTCATGGTGCTCATAAAGATAAGCCTCAGCAGCCAGGGCAGCACACAGCTCTTGATAAGGCAATGCTCTCTTAAATTTGCAGCTAAAGAAATTGAATTCACACTGAAATATATCCAAACAACCTCCCCAATAGACCACAGTTGTCTCGATTTAAACCATGGCTGTTAAAGACTAATATTCAGTGTTCAGAAATCCTGTTAGGAAGGTAGAAAACATTTTTTTTTTTCTCATTAAGCAGCTGCTGGTTTGTGAACAAAAAAAGGAAACCGCTCAGTAACTGTGGGGCTGCAAAGCCTGCACCCACAGTGAAACACGTCCTGCAGCTTTTTGGACATTGTTTTCCACTCCTCATTTCTGAAACAGCAGTGTGAGGCGGCTCCAAATGACAAATTGAAGTCTTTCTCCACACCGTCAAGAAAACTGCATGCTGGTACAGTAGATGTGACAGATGGAGGAGACGGCACAAAGATGAATGATAAGCCCCACACACACACCAGAAAAGCAAAATACAAAGATTCATAATAGGATAACGAGGATGAGGAGACAGAAAGAGAGAGAGAGAGGGGGAAAGACAAGAGGGGGAGTTAAACATGAACGTAAGAAACAACACAACCACATCAGCCATGTTATTCTCAAAAAAAAAAAAACATGCATCAAAAAACCAACAAGGGAATATACAAGAGCTTGTGTATATTCATGTTTGGACCCAAAGAAGCCACACCGACAACAAGGATAAATAACGATTACACGTGGCAAAATGAGAGCACATGTAAGGGTAGAGTACCTATTTTATGGGAGGACTGTCACTGGACGACGCGACACACTCACAGGGAGGGAAGGAAGTCCCCGGTCGGGCAGCCAACCAATCAGAACAAGAGAGGGAAGAGGATTCGGTGAAGAGGTGTGGAGGGTGGGAGGGTGGGAGGGTTTAATTTGAGGGGTTCATGGTGTTGTTTCGGCCAATTTGGTCGTCAGCAGGTGCAGAATTCACGACTTATTATACCAAACTTGGATGCCTAACTATTTCTGCTGGTTAGGTTACAGACATAGAGCAATTTGAATTATTTTGAAGTGGATAACAATTAAAAACAGGGATTTGTTCTCCTCTTTTGCAGAGTTTCATGTCTGTTTGACACCTCAGAGATCTTCTAGACCTCTGCAACAAGGTGAGAGGTCAAACTAGAGTGAAACGAATTTGAAACTGTTTCTTTAAAAAGTTGAGATGAGGTTAAAGGTCCCATATTATGCTTTTTCTGGTTTAATATGCCCTTTAGTGTGTTTTCCAAGTGTCCTGTGCATGTTTAGGCACATCTATGTGCAAAATTTCAAAGTCCGCAGAAACGCGGCTTCTCCTACGTCCTCCTGTTAGCTGTAGCATTAGCCGCATGTAAGCTCGGTTCTAGCCCCCCTCGAAAAATTTTGTCAGTGCAGCGTCATTGTCAGTGTGAGGTCACTGATCTAAGCCCATTGGCTCGTTGTGGCAAGCCCTGCAGCTCATGTTGAAATTTCCAAGAGGCGTGCTGAGCAACGGACCAATAACGACAGAGCGGATCGGCAGACCAATCAGAGCAGACTTGGCCCATGTGGGGTCTAACAGTGTGGGCTCAACAGAGTGTAGCTGACGGATTCAGAGCGTAGAGGGAGCAAGGAGGAGCAGTACATGAAAACAGACACTTTTTTTCGGACTTTAGCTATTGTGAACGTACAAAAGTAGGTTCATAGATTAAATATACGAACCCCAAAAAGGGCATAATATGGGCTCTTTAAACAAAAAGACAGAGGTGAAGTTAATAAATCAATGAAGCAGCAGCGATCATTTAACATGACTTTAAGAGCTTCCTGATGATGATGTAAGTACGTTCATCTGACATGTGAGCAATCTAGCCTTTTCACACATGCACAAAACTCCTGAAAACTTCTCAAAATCTTGGCGTTGAGCTGCATGTGTGAACGGAAACAGCCACATTTTTTCACCCAGACTTATGAGTCATTCTTCTTGTCAGCCCCCAAGTAAAGTGTGTTTTTTTACAGGTTTATTTTGGGGACAGTCATAAATCGGTGAGAGAGTGAAGAATGACCACAGGTCGGATTTGAACCTGGGCCGCCCACTGCGACGTCCACAGTCTGCGTACATGGGGCGCGTGCACCAACCAGCAAGCTATCAGCGCCCCCTAGTGACATTTCTGTGTGAAGTTAGGGTTAGCCGATGGATGAACGCAGCAGGAAATATTCAGGAAAATTCTCATATCCTGCCTGAGTAGTGATTTATGTTCTATTGCACCAAAACGGAGTTGAAGTCTTAATTTAATTGTATGCAGAGCTTACGACAACAACAACAAAAATTAAAGCATTCTGATTCCGATCATAATATATTCTATGTGTTGCCTGATCTTTTATCTAAAATTCGATTTGATTTAATAGATTGTGAAACACGGCTGGGCGGCTGCAGCAGTTAAAACTCTTTTTGGCTTCTTCTATAAAACCAAGTAAACAAAATCAAACATGGCTTCTTACTGACGATGAGCGCTAACGGACCCTGACAACCTTGAGCATGTTTCTGACTTGTTGCTTCATCTGATGAATAAAGAGAAATCACTAAGTTATATGTTCTTGTTGGTATGTCCGCCTCTTCACTTAACAAGCTCTACTCAGAAAGACCGCTGCCTCAGGGAACAGAGGAGCTTCATTCCTTTCCAGAGGAGCCTGTCTGTCTCAATGAAGACACTGACAGACATTCAGTGGTTATAGACGTCCCTGCAGCAGGTGCTGAGTGCTGCACAAAGCTGAGTGGTGGCTGAGTAAGGAGGGAAAAGACTAATGTAGTAAAGGACAGGTTTTATTAGCTGCTACTTCAAACGTGAGCTTTCAATCATTTCTTTCTCTTTAAAGAGGCACCAGGAGAAAATTCAATTATAACAAGATGATTGTATTATGTTACTTTGAAGGTGCTGAAGTGCTCATTTTAAGAACTAAGAAATGAGTTTTGTTAAAGCCTAACGGATGAACTGATAAGAAGTGATGAACTCATAATGTGAGCTTTTAAAATGTTTTGATTAAACTTTACAATCCAGATCAGGGAGATGTGACTGGATGAGACTGTGAGTGCTGGTTAACATGCAACAGGTGTGAGAGTACAGTGGTGTTCTGTTGGGGCCCTCGGCTTTAGTCAATTGGGGCGCCCTCCAACGAGCGTTCATCACCATCATGTCTTCCTCTGTCTGTCTCCTCTTCCTCTTTTCTTTTCCTCTCCTATAGACGATCATTCCTCTTCATTTGTATGTGTTGATTTTCATTGACAGACTTTGGTTTTCACAGCTATAATACATGCAACGCTTAACAGGACAACGAGAGTGAGTGCTGTCAGACGGGGCCGCCTTAGGGAGGTTTCCTACTGCTGTTGCAAAAAATGCACATTTTGGGCCACTGCTTTGGTTTAAGAACTTCCACCAGATACGTGTGCATAGCGTGTCCGCTCCGCTCTCGTCTGTCAACAGCTGGAGTGCCGACACAAAGGAATTCCTGCAACAATTTTACAGATTCACTCGCGACAGCACGAGATAATGCGATGTATGTGGTATGAAACCGTGTTAAACCATTTAAAACACATAAACAAACACACAAAAGGTCATTGTTCTGAACCGTCCAAACAGAGTGGCTCTGCTCCGCTGCCGTTAAGGAGCAGAGACGGACCGAACACGCACCTGGTGGAATTTAGGCTTACGCCCTCAGGGGCCCCATACTGGTCTGGGGCCCCAAGCAGTTACCTGCCTGGCCTGTTGACAAGCAGCGCCTCTTTCAAAGTAGCATATTGTTATAAAGAGGCAGCAGGTTTTCAATGTAAAGATGAAAACAGTGTTTCAAACCAACAAGGGTTCGAGTCTGAGCTGCATTCAAATTTTAAGTTGAAATACTTAAAATACTTGTTATCCTTTAGTTTACTTAACTTGTATTAATAGTTAAGAAATCACAACGTTTCAGTCCCTCTGAGCCTTTGACAAGTGTGTTACACACTTTTAAGATTCAAGAGTAGTGTGCAGGATTTTATCTTTTCAATGAGATAGTTTTAAGTCCTACACACCTACTTCATGAGAAAGTTGGATGAGAACATACAGGGTTTTCATTTGCGTGTAACAGAACCAAGAATGGGCTATTTAAAACATTTTCCTTGAGTTGGAATGACTTGAACCTGACCTGACATCCGAGGGGCAATGATCCTGTTGTCATCAGGATTTTAAAGTGTGACGTTTGCAGAAAACACAATGTCCTTTTTTTTTTTTTAAATCCAACCATCTTGAACAGAAACATTCCTCCTGACAGGGTCTAACTCAATTCAACTCCAATCATAACACTGGAAAATGGCTATAGACGCTCTCGAAACAAAACAATAAAACAGGGGGAAGAAACATTGCAGAAAGTGATAAAACATGTGCATGGTCAGGATAGAGGAGTACGTAGAACAGAGAGGCATACCTTAAAGGCATACTTGCGGCTGATGTGGTCCTCAGGTCCCACGGGTGAAATGACATAGCTGGGCAGAGGGATACTGCCGAGCACCGACTCCTCTCTGCTGTCTGGAGAGATAGAGAGAGAGAGAGAGAGAGAGAGAGAGAGAGAGGGGGGGGGGGGGGGGGTCGATAATAGGAGTGAGGAAGGTGAGAAAAGGAGAGAGAGATATGGAGGACAGGAAAAAGCAAGAGAATAAATATCACTCATCACCCTCTAATTTCATCACTGCCTGCCACTAGTATCTTGACACTGACACACACACACACATTCAAACACACATTCAAACACACATTCAAACACACATTCAAACACACACCCTCACATGCCGTCATTCATACCAGAGTGTTGTGCCAAACAGTAAATGACCACTCTGGTGTCTCAGTGTCACAGAGCTAAAGCTGGCAGTCAGCAGCCATTCCACTGTGTCCTCCCATCCGGTTTACTACCCAGATCATGGAACACACACACACACACACACGTGTCCTGCTATATTTATAAGGACCCTCACTGACGTAATGTAGTCCTCAACCTTCACCCAAAAATCTAACTCTCTGTCAGCCTTGGAAGATATAAAGACTGCTAAAAAATATCTCCAAGTTCTCTATTTCCCTACATCATTTAGGTTTAGGATGTCTGTCCATCACTGTTTTCACATATGCACAGGAAAAATTCAGGACCCCGTGCCCCTGAACTCAACAAGAGTTGCTTGTTCACATATGTCCTTCACAGCATGTCTGACAATGGGTGAGGGTCTCAGGGGGAGACATGACGTAAAAAGGAAGCTGCAGAGATAAGAGATGACGAGCAAAGCGTCAGAGTCTGTCATTATTACAACAGTTTCTGCCTTTAAATCAATGCTATGTGTGATTTGACGTATTCACAGTATCAACAAATATTGGAAAAGAGCATACTGGAGAGCAGAAACGGGTAAGAAGCAGCTTCATTTTGTGCCATGATGTGCACCTGTCACCTGCTAACGTCATTACCCCGGTCCACTCGCTCCTGGTGAGTATTACCTGCTGTGTTTACACATAGGCTCACCCCGATCTCATGCGATCATTTTACTAGGAGGGGTGGCAGCGGAAAGTCCAGAACTGAAAAAATGTAACAATTTTCGTTCAAAAATTCAAAACATCTCATGTAAACACCACATCTTAGTTTTTCCTTGCTTTATTTTCTAAGTGTCTTATGATCTTAATATTAAATATCTTAATTAATATCTTATATTAAATAGTGTGTTTTTCTTTCTTATAACTACATGTTATAAGAAGTGTCACATAGATAAAGCTTTTTCACTCACTCGATTTCCAAAAAACATCCTCGCCTTAAACTGTAACTGGTCCTCACAAACATAGAAATACAAACACAAACACAACCATGCAACTATTCATCTCCGGTCTTAATTACTTCACACATCACAAATAATTATCTGCAGAGCATTTATTTTCCACCGAACATAGTGACAGCATGCTAGAGTGTGTGTGTGTGTGTGTGTGTGTGTGTGTGTGTGTGTGTGTGTGTGTGTGTGTGTGTGTGTGTGTGTGTGTGTGTGTGTGTGTGTGTACGTGTGCAGTAAACAATCACCGCATCATAAAATGCAGCAGTGTCCTGACAGTATGTGTGTGCGTGACTCCGGCTCTCGTGTGTGTGTGGCAGTTGGGCTGAGAGGTGATAAGGCGGCGCTGTGGATTAAAGGGGCAATGTGTTAAAAATAGTTCAAGGACATTTGAAGGAGACATTCCCTGCATGGTGGGCGAGACGCTGAGGTCTTTTTTATCTGCTCTGTCCCGTCTGTCACACTCTGAGAGCAAACACACTCACACTGAGCAGAGCGCAGCGTGACAAGTGGCGTTAGATAACCTCCAGACAGCACAGCAAGAAAGCTGCTGTTTGTCACTCTGTTCTGTCCGACCCTGGGTTCTCTTTAAGGAAGGTCTAAAGATGGCGTACAGATCAGGAGGGGATTTTTTGATATTTCTCTTGAATTAAAAAATGAATAAAAAGATCAAATTAAGAAATACTAAGAGGGACAAACAAGGGATGTATGCACGATCACAAGCTGACGTCCAAACAAAGAACTAAACACGTTGGGAAAGTCTTGACCCGATGCCAAACAAATACAGACAAGGACTGTTATCTGCAAATATTTAAACTTGAAAGAAGAAAAATGGTAATTCTTTCATCCCAGGACAAATGATGCTGTGTTTGCATCCTGGTTTAAAAAGTGTATTACATCGAATTTTACACTAAAATATCTAAATTTATTAACCTATGTTATATATTTTCAGCTGAGTACTCGCATTGCCTCTAATATATTTCCAACAGTTATCACAGCCAGATAGATCCTTAATATGTGACCACAATAATCACAGTCTTGTGGATGTTGACCTGCAGGGAGGAACAAAGGCTGGTGGTGGAAGCACTGCTGGTTAAACGGAAGTTAAATGTCCGCATAGCTGACTAGAAAAGTTGGCTGGGAGCATCCGTACTTTAAATCATTATTGATCAGGGGAAACTCCTGTGTTGACGTGCATTTGTTGTAACATTCCTACTAAGTTATATGAATTTAAAAAAAATGTATTTACATGGTGTTTTACAAATCAATTATACAGTCGATTGTTCCCTGAAGATTTTACACAAACCAAAAGTAGATTAATTTGTGGAGGAAGTCTCAAATCATATATTTACAACAGGAAAAACTAAAAAAGCACCGGACACTTTACACTAATATCACTTAAATACTTCTACTGTCCTAAACCCTCATCAGCAACACAGAAGCATCTGTCACTATAAAAGACAAAGTACCTTCAAATGATACGCTTTTTCACTAAGTTAGTGCCTAACACACTATAATACTATATATATAAAGTTCAAGTCCGAACACATCTGTTGTTGTCACTGTTGTTTTGAATGCACATCTTTTTGAACATTATCGTTGTACTTTTGTACATATGTATTTTATTTGATATTTTGCTATTTTTTGACTCTAATGCAGTTTGCACTGTGGCTCGGAGGAAAATGATTTGTTTCAATTTTTCTGTATGTCCATTATGTATGGCAAAATAATCAATGTAGACAAACAGTCAAAAATTCCTTTGTTCACCAGTCAATTCTAAAATTGAATGCAGAGCTGAATCCCAGATCAAAGCAGGTTCAGTCCACTGTAACATTTGCTGCTTTGCTAAAGTGCTCATGATGGATAGGCCGAGTCTTTGTAATATAGCAATAAGTAAGATCTTTTACCTGCTTTTTGTAACATAACAATAAGTAAGGTTTTTTTACCTGCTTTTTGTAACATAACAATAAGTAAGGTTTTTTTACCTGCTTTTTGTAATGTTAAAAGATAAAGAGTAAGGTATTTTACCTGCTTTTTGTAAAGTGTCTTGCGATAACACTTGTTATGAGTTGACACTATACAAATAAAACAACAAAAGCAGAGGGGGGGGGGGTTGGCTGTTTGTGAAGAACCAGGAGATAGAGGGAAGCGGTGCAGAGACAGATCAAGAGTGTTCATGTTGAGAGGAGAAACCTTTGAACTTGAGACGCGGACAGAAAGAAAAGAGGGGGGAAAAGAAACGACAGAGAATTGATTCCCTCCTCCGGTCGAGGCGGGGACACAGAGGAGCGTGTCCCTAAAGGTTGGCTTAAGAATATGGAGATGAAAAAGAAAGGCGTGGAGGGGCAGATAAAGACAGCCGGGGGATAGAGACTGATGGGGAGGGAGGGGTGGTGGATGAAGTGTGTGATGTAACTGTGTGTGTGTGTGTGTGTGTGTGTGTGTGTCTTTATCTTTTCATGTGTCTGAGCTGTAACCCAGTGAGAGATCTGATTTATGTTCTCCATGATTGAATCACTGGCTGGTTTGTCAGCTGCAGTTCACTTCAAATGCAACATCAGTTCATATTTTTCTCAACTCAACGTCCAAACCTCTGACATTGAAAGCTGTCGTTTTTAGCATAAATGTTCATATATATATATATATATATATATATATGTGTCAATCAATTAATCAATCATTATTTGTATCGCGCCAATTCACAACAAGTGTAACCCGAGATGCTTTACAAAAGGGATAATATACAGTAAGGATTTCTCCTTTGTTTCCTCATGTTCCTGTTGTCCACACTTCCTTGCTGCTGAGGTGGAGGTCGCAGCAGGCTGTGCATGAATGAGGACCGCGGTGGTTGTGTGGACGGCACAGTCCGATGGTGGTGGTTGGGCGTCTGGAGATGCTAACCTCAAAAGCTTGACCATGGTTTTATGGAAGTTTCAAGGACGGTGCCATGGAGCTTCACCATGCAGCAGCTCTCATGTTGTCAGTCTGTGAAACCTCCAGATTAGCTTTTTGTGATCTGCAGCTCATAAAACTCTATCACATGATTTGCAGAACAAGCGGATTAGCGCCCTCTGCAGCCTTATCCTGGGATTACTCCAACATGCGTTTACCTCGTGAGCTGAAACTTTGCCCACATTTAGTTTGGACATCCAGCATTAAAACACTATACTGTATGTGAGTTTCAAAATGGGGATCAGCATCATGGGTCAACTTCTTACCTTTGTTTTCTAAAAAAACAAATGCAGGTCAGGGATTCAATACCAAAGAGGTACCACATGGGAGCTGGAACATGGGCTTTGTTTTTGTCCCTACATCAACATTTAGATGTCCATATGGGTTGTTGATGGTAAGGAAAGCATTAAATGTGCTTTCTTACAGCCAGAAGGTGCCACAGCAGCAGCAACAGGGAGAGGAAGGCCGGGTGCCCAGTGTATGACTTTTCTAACTTCATCACAGTGAAGGGAGCAGTACTGAACCTAATTTAATGATATCTGAGACGCTGAATGACAAACCTGTTCACCAGCAGAAAACAGATGAGTAAAGTGATGAGGAGCGTTTTTTCGACATCAGGGTCTGATTATGTGCTCACAATTTCAAGACTTATAGCAATGTACTGATAAACATTTCTCCTTTTTATAAGAATTACAGCATTACGCCAAATAGATTAAGCAGAAGTTTATGTTGCACAAACTGGAGGGATTGGAAGCAGCCTGAAGCACCAGTGTGCAGCTGTGGCGTCAGGAAAGAGATGTTTGTAAGTAGAAAGACGCAGACAGAAAAGTCATCCGTGCAAGAAATCTCTCCACTGAGAAATGTGTTCTGTGTCACAGGGATAAATGCCAACACACCAGTTGCAGGGATTCATTTTATATCGTTACCGGTTTCTCCTGCGGCTGAAAGTAACAGAAAATAAGCGAGCTAACTAAGTGGGCCTCAAGTTTTGTTATATTCATCTTTACAAGTTATGTTTTCAAGAGCAACACTGAGCAACACACAGTTTTGAGTCTTTTCAGTATTTTTTGGGGTGTTTCTTACATGCGTTACCAAGAAGAAAGCGATTGACCACCACAGGCGTTATTTTTCTTTCATATAAAATATCAAGCTGATTTTGTGAGAACTAATTTCGTCATGAATTCCACTTTTGTGGCAGCTAATGTCCCTCAGTCCAGAGATGCTTCATTTTCAAGGCGCCCTGCTGAGACACCAGCAGAATAAACTGCAGTCTCATATAAAATCCGAACATCCAACACGACTTAAAGTTTGAAACTGGAATTTTTTTTGTATCCTTCTTAAATTTGTTGATTTAGTAACAAGTACAGATGCAGTCATTTTAAAGTTTTGAGGAGGTGTTTCTGTTTGGAAAGATTTGATTTGAAAGGTTGGCTGTGCATGGTGTACCCTGTTGGTCGTTTGTATCATTTGAAAGGTTCTTCTGATCATTTATCCAGAAGTTTGCATTACAACGAGGAAGGAGATGGAATAGGTAGGAAAAAGCAAATTTCAAGAATTGTCTTTGGTTCCTGTTGATGTTACAACAAGAAACATTTAGCCTGAACAGAGCCTCACCTTTGTAGTAGAAGAGACAGAAATCAGCCAAGACGAACCACTTCCTCTTCCAGAGACGCATCCCAGAGCTGTCCTGCAGAGAGAAAGACGGGCACAAAATGTGTGAGTAATAAACGAATGGATTATCAGACAGGAACATTCAAAAGATTCAACGTTATGAAGGTGAAGAAGGTATGAGCACAGATCACAGATCGCTGGCTCTGCCACGGCCCGTTTTGTCTATTCATGATCTCCAGCTGAAGATGGGGCCGTTTGAAGAGGAGAGGAGAGACAGAAGGGATGAAATCAGCCCCAAACATTTAAATAAAATCCTTCTTTGGCTTAGAGTGTTTGTTGCTACACAACTAGGTCATCCTGTGAAACTGATAGTATGTTACATAATGAGGAAAAAGTCTTGGCCTGCCAGTATATGTACATTTTTGTTAGCATGTGATTGTGCGTTAGGAGCATTTCTCCTAATTAAAATATAATTGCACTGCACATGAGCATATGCAGATTTGCATTCACTCGTGTGTGCGTCGCCGTGCGTGCCTGTGCGTCGTCGCATTAGTGTGTGCGTGCCTCTGTGTGCGGTCATTAAAACATAATTGCCTCCCACTAACATCACTCACTGTTTGTCTTGTTACCGAGGCCAAGTGTTCTCAGTGAGATGACGCCAACGACAGATATTTTAAGTATAACTTCAGATGCAAATAGAGGCTCCAGTAATAGTGTGTCTGTGATCAACAGCAGGTGCTCTACAGTGCCAAAGAAAAGAATTAATCAAGAGGAAAATAAAACTGGGCCACTGGAGGAAATGTTACAGGAGCTCATCGCTGAAGTGAGTTAAAGAGACATGAGCACAAACTGTCAGGCATGTGAGGACTTACATGAAGCCTGGACGATCCATTTATAATGCACAGCAAGAATGTGCTGGGTTGCTTAGCTTACCACAGTTATCCAGCTAACTTTAGCTTGATTTATTACAACAGTATAGATCAGATAGTATATCATATGATTTAAAAATCGCCCTCGACGTCAGCTGTTTTTTCTCGACTGAGCTCACAGTGCTTTGGGTTTTTCTCAACTTTTGGAACAGCGGCAGCGTCACTTCTCCCTCCATAAAAGACCAATCAAAATCAAGAAGGGGTAGGGACTTGCAACATCAGCCTTGTCAACAACAATGGCAGGGGAAAAATCAATCTGACTCATCTTTTCGAGGGTACAATTTGCTGCTGATACCAGGAGGGGATTCCTTTACTCCGTTTTCATGTTTTTCCAACTACACCGAGTTCTTAAAACTGAACTGACAGTCACTATCACTATTTACTGATGCATAGTTTGCTAGTTTGGCTTCTTTGACTTCAGTAAAATGTAACTTCCTGATTTCCGATGAAGTTTTCGTTCATCGGAAAACAAAATGATGAAATCACCCTGAAAACCATGTGGAAATGTTTGGCAGCAACAGCATTTGATTCATCAGTCTGTTATGATTGTGTTTGTGCGAGTGCGATTGTGCGTGTGCGTGCGTGTGCGTGTGCGTGTGCCCTTACCTGTTTGTAGAGCCATCCTCGGACCACCACAGGGACATTTGGATTCCTTTTAATGGCCTGATCTCTTTTCCCAAAGCTGTGCACTTTGCCACTGGAGCGAGAGCCCTGAAACACACAAATATAAATAAAGGCTTTAATGAGATGAAGGAGGACACAATCGATGTCCTTAGCGGTTAGCAGTAATGTTACCAAATAGCATGTACAGAATGTGAATTACACATGTACTGATAATTTAGTTCATTCTCTGTTGGGTGATGCTATATTATCAGATTGTATGTTAATTAGCGAGTTTCTCTGTTTGTTTTCACACCTCTAATCAGCTTGGCAGTTAAGTTGTAGAGCAAATTGTTGCAGCTCATCATCATTAGCATTTCTTCAATAGCCCGATTAGTTCAATATCACCAAAAGCACCAAAAACCCTCTAAAAGCCTTTAACGAAAACATTTATGCAGAACTGTATTTATAAAGGCTGCAACAGAGAGCCAGACTGATCCGTGTGTCAGACTAACTTACATCTGTGCACACGCTGTGCCTCATCAGACCATTCAGTCTGATTTTAAACATCGCTGAATAGACTTTCACCCACACCATTATTAGCCCGTTTTTTTCAGCAACCTCTCTTTCTGCCCCAGTTGTTACATAATTAGAGCCATTATGTGAGCACAGACAATTTTCCACTGGACCTCCATTACACAGTCAGCCAAGGTTTCCATGCCATTTGTCAGGGATTGACAAAGCCTCTGAAGACAATCAGGTAGGAGGTTAGAAGAGTGGGTTTGTGACCTGCAGGTCGCAGGGTGCGACTGCCAGACCGACCGACACCTGCTGGATTTGCTAGTGAACCTGAACAGCCACCATCAAGGAGAGTAAGACATTAACTCTAAATTCATTTTTCCCCTGACTTCATGAATATGGGAAGCTAAGCTGCAGATATGATGTTGCTCTGGGTTGCTCCAGTTTTAAGGTTGTACACACTGAATCCAAAAAGTATTTTAAAAATCAACGCTTCTTTACTGACCTGTTACTGAAAAGACAATTGATCCATAAATCTGGAAGGGCATTTAGCCAACAAAACAAGTTTCATATTCAGACACATATGCTTCATAACTCCATCTTTTGCCTGCTCAATTTTTTCAGAAAATGTGTGCTCAAACAGGCCGTTTGGAGATTTTCCCTTCATGACATCACAAAAGGCAGTAACCCCTCCCCAGGGTGGGTGACACTCCCACAGCTAGGTGTTTGTTCTGCCCTCTGAGTCTGCCTTCTCACCGTAAACAGTAGGGCATGGTGCAAAGAAGCCTGAGCAACATACCCTCCCAAGAGGGGGCGTGGTCAGACACAGCTCATTTACATATTTAAAGATACAGAAACAGCCTGTTCTGAGCAGGGCTGAAATAGAGGGGTTTATAGACATGAGCAAATGCAGACTCAGAGTGGATTTAGAACGAGAAACTAGACAGTGGTTAAATTAAGATTTTAGAATTTGTCTACTGAAAGCTTATGGGTTATCTTCACATATGGCCCGTTGTCTCTCATATTTAAAAAAACAATAAGTAACCTATTTTGCAAAGCTCCAACAGCGCCGTATAAGAGTTCCCCTCTACTACACCTTTGTACTTTTACGTTGCATTTGCAACCTCATAAAACTGTTGCCTCAGGGTGTGATTTCACATTGCGTCACCGTGTTGAAGAAGCATGAGAGGCATGAGGTGTTAAACAGTGAGAGCTCCACACACACACACACACACACACACACACACACACACACACACACACACACACACACACACACACACACACACACACACACACACACACACACACACACACACACACACACACACACACACACACACACATTCAGACATGCACTCAGCATTGTGTCACCCTTCTGTGTCATTACACTTTGCCACCTCCACGCCCCTGTTACATCTCTGTTACAATCTGCATCAGCAGGTCAGGGGCGGGATGATTTACCCCACCTTTCTGCCTCGGTGTGTTAAACATTGCAAAGGGGAAGGGGGTGGAACAGGCTGGAAATATCCCGCCTCGCACTGCAATGTGTAAAGGGCTAATACCATCACAACTAATACTAATATCCAGCCACTTTATCGCTAATAATAGCATTGTGTTAGAAGAGGTTTAATGCTTTGGGCGCTGATGGTCTAGCGGTTAGGTCCCAGCCCATGTACAGGGGCTATAGTCCTCCAAGCAAGGGTCCCAGGTTCAAATCCGACCTACAGAGCGTTTCCCCTAATTATCACTCCCCACTCTCTCTCTCTCTCTCCTAAAGTCCTACACTCTCCACTGTCCTATCAAAATAAAAGCAGAAAGCTGAAAATATTACCCTTAAAAAGGCGAGGTTTGCTGTTTGTCAGTGTTTGTGAGATGATTGGATGATGGGTTAGATCAAAGCTAACAGTTATGTTAGATAGGAAGGAGTTAAATGCTGACATAAGCTGTTTTAAGCCATGATTAAATATTGGCCCCGGGCGATTATATTTCATAGTTGTGAATGAAAAGGCTAAAATTAAGCATGTGTTCATTTAGAGAATACACCACGTCAGAATGATATGAACTGAAATAATGTCAAAATGTAAAACAGCAACCTCTGAGCAGAGGCTTAAAACATGCAGCAGAACCATGCGGGCCGAATGAACTTGAACAACTGCTCGATTTTAAGTACACCAGAAAAGTCAGACAGATTCAAAATTGCTGCTCCAAAGTATTTCGGCTTTCACAGATGGGCGAACAGAAAATGGTCCTGGAAAATGCAACATTTTATTCTGTGTAACCCATTTGTTGATCTCTTGAACTCCAATTTCCTCACTTTCAAGTGAAAACTCAATTCCTACCCTATCTTGTAGGGAAGCCTCTGGGTGTTGTATATGTTAGTAGTGGCAGTATTTACCTCTGTTCCAGCTCACTGAGATGTAATTTACCGGCTGTATTAACATTATACAACATAAGAGGCTGTGATGTTTGAATCATCCTGACTTGAACACGTTTAAGGAATGCACAGGTGCTGGTGGCTTGGACATTATTGCCTTTTTTTTTCACGTTTTGTGTGCGGCTGTTGTATAATCCTGCAAACCCTCTTATACACTGTGCACATATTCATGAAATCTCATTACACCGCCATCTACTCTGAAGCCTCAGAAGAAAGACTGCATCCCTACAGTATTCACACACACACCAATCGTCACACAGTTACTGTATATAAGATACAGGCTGGCAGCAGCTCTGGGAGGCGTCCAGCTGGAAGACAGCAAACACCTCTCGCTAATTAGAGGAAAGCCGGTTGGCCAAGCATGATGCAAAGACACAGAGCGGCTCAAACACTGTCACATTCACGTCTCTCATCAGTAAATATATACTCAGTGTCTGCCCATGCATGTGTGTCTCTGCCTGCAGATATGTGTGTGTGTGTGGGGTACAGTGTTCTATTTTTAGGCCGGGGGTAATTGTGTGGAAAAGGCTGTGGTCCCTGCTGCAAAGAAGCACTCTGTCTTGTAGGTGTGTGACTCAGCATGCAGAGCAGCTATTTGTCACATTAATGGAAACCTAAAAAGGCCAATGGAGCCCGGTCTGAGAGCCGGAGGTCGCAGGATCAAATCCCTCACCGGGACGAGAATTACCTGGGAGGGCGAGATAATTAAAACGGGAGAAGAGCTTTCTCCTCCCTTATCTCGTTTTGGGTGTCCTCACATTATAGACACGAAATCTTACACAACATGTGAGTTTTCAAAAGTCCACCTGGGTCACTTTTAGTGGCAAAACACTCAGCTTCCAACATGGTCACAAAGATTGAAGAACTGACAACTTCTGGTGTGAGTAATTTATAAGGCTAAAATACAAGTTTAATATTAATTAATTTATCCTTTATTAATCCCGCGAGGGGAAATTCAATTTTTAAACTCTGTCTAATGAACATGAACACACACATAGGCCGAAATACACACACATGCACAAACAGGACACCAATGGACATGCATTAATGAAGACGTCTCAGAGTGAGGGGGCTGCCCACAGCGAACGCCCTAGGGAAGTTTTGGGGTTTGGTGCCTTGCTCAAGGGCACCTCGGCAGTGCTCAGGAAGTGGACTGGCACCTCTCCAGCTACCAGACCAGCTTCCGGACTTGGTCCGTGCTGGGACTTGAGCTGGCGACCCTCCGATTCCCAACCCAAGTCCCTACAGACTGAGCTACTGCCGCCCCCTAACATGAGTTGGTTTCTGACATTCTCCTGCAGTGCTCCTTCTTCTGGTTAAATGCTAAGTGTAAAAACTAAGGTAAAGTGAGCTGCTTTAAAATATATTTCAGCTAGACTTGTTTGAAAGTTATGCTGAAATTCATTAAATTTTTTCAGTCAACTTAGCCCCTCCCTCTCTACCACTTCCTCTGTCTCTCTGCTCTGGTGATCAGCTGATTATGGGTGTTTATTCTTTAAGTAAATAACCATACCAGATTCTGCCATGACCTCGCTCAACCAATCATCCTGCTACTGTCACATTTTGAAATATGTTCTCTCTCTCTCTTCCGCAGTCAATCTGTACTTTAAGTGTGATCGCTGTGACCCTCCTTTGACCCGGTCACCTCCAGTCCAGCTCAGCAGAGTTCAGATCCAGCCTCAGAAACCCACTCCTCATCACATCCTGCATTCTTCTACCACCACCACCAGGGTCTACACTCCATAGTGGGGTATCCTACTGTCGGCCTCACTACACCCTCTGATTGCATGAAGACATCATGGTGGAGTCTAATCGCCGAACACATTTGTCTTTTCTAAATTGTTAAATAAATAATTGTCCATTCTTAATTAAGTCTCTCCTGATTGAAATCGGAGTGTCTTTAAGGTGAGGTTGTAGTTTCTGTACTGAAAACAGAAAGATAAAAATAGACATGGCCTTTTATTGAACTGCCAAATCATAATTTTCATGAATCTGAAACCCGCTTCAAGAATGGAACAGGGAAATAATGAGACACGTAAAGTAAATTCAGAACAGTCAAATGACAGGAACTCCAGAATGAATCCCAAAGAAGTGTATCAGACGAGTTGTGAAGAAAAGATCACTAGATGCATCCAGCAGACAGAACACGAGTGCACCAAGGAGAGAAGTGAGCGGGTCGTGGGAGAAACATGTCTTAGCCTCTGAAGTTTGAGGATGTGACTTATTTAAAAGGTGGATTCATTTCTTGATGGTTGTGTGCTGTGCAAAGAGGACGCCCATGACTCATCTCTCCTCTGAGAAACATTCTTTTGTCAAGACTTTTCTGTGTCAGAGTGAGGCTTCCTGCAGTCGGATGGCAGGGCTGATGAGCCGGAGCACCTGGGAGGGCTGCCGGCCGGGGGGGGGGGGGGGGGGGGACGGGGGGGACGGGTGTGGAAACAGTGACGGCCGTCGTGATGGATGCCCTGTCATCTCCGTACCGCACCCCATGACACATGCTCAATCTCAGTCCCGAGGCACCTGTTGATGGGGCAGGATGAGATTTCACGCCACTGCGGAGCTGCGGATGTGTGTGTGTGTGAGTGAAAAAGAGTGAGAGATATAGACAGAGAGAAAGACAAGTGACAGGGAGAAAAATGAAAACACAAGACGGAAAGAGAGAATTTAAAATTCCGATGGACCTCTTTATGTTGAACAAAATGTACGCCTTACACAGGGCATACATTTTGGGGGGGGGGGGTATGTATGTAGGGCGGTCAGCATCAACGCGTTCATCCGATGCTGTGATTAAGGTCTGGAATTAATGCAACATTTTAATCACACTAATCTATTTTGTCCTTTAGGCGCACCATACGTAAGCTACCACAGCGTCCTCTTGTAGCTGCTGATGGAAATGGATGAAATCACTGCGCCTTGGAATGGCTCTTTCCACTTAAGAAAACTCCCCAATAGCTCAGAGGACAAGTCAAATACGCACCATGTGACATCAAACATTTTCAATCCGTATGGAGTTCCTCATGGTTAAGTTAACGTCATGACCATCGAACTTTCAAAGTAAAAGCAGGTTTGCATCCAAAGTGAAGTACCCTTAGCTGAAGACAGTACAAAAATTCAAAATAAAAGCATCACAAAAACTGTTTTGAAATGCAAAATAATGGAATTTTAAACATGCGAATAATTGCGACTAACTATTGAAATTCAGCATTAAATCAGAATTAAAGTGAGGCAAGACTGCCTGTTGTCTGCCTCTGCACTCAAGTAATCGTATCAATCCCTCACCGGTTCTAGTTCACTTCCTGGGTGTCTTTCAGCGAGGCAACAGATCCACAACTGCTCTGAGCTCTCGTCCATGTCCAGCTCTCTAACTCTAACATCGATTAACGGACGTCTAAAGGGTACAGCATGTTCAAAAATAACAGAGTGATCAAATTGGATTCCTCCTCAGGGATTAATGAAGCCTCACTTCTTCCTAAAACAGATCACAGAGAAATGTATTTGGAGTTCTGCATTTGGAAACTAAGTTGAATCTTATTAGAACTACTTCAATGAATTCCATTATTATGGCAGAAACGGCACAATGCTTGCATCAAAGTTTGAAGGAAAAGCAGGCACAAGGGGAAAAGTGAAGAGTGGAGGTGCCAAAAGAAGAGTTTTATTGTTATTCTTCACACGTCTCCAATCAGTCCACGTTAGTGTGAGTGTGGGTTTCTATTCGAAGGTAGATATGAGCAGTTTTGTAGAGCAAGTTCCACATGAACAGTATACAAGAATTCAGCATGAAGATCTCCAGGATGGATCAACCCAAGCAGCAACCTCAGAAGCGAGAAATGAAGCCAATGCAAGAAGTATAAAAAATATGCAGTTCATCAAGTGGCCTCTTGAGGCTGGCTCCAATGGTGAGTCATTCCCCATTAGGCCCCCTAATAAAATCTCCAACTTTATATCTAAACATTTTTTTTAAAAGAGAGACTGTCTTGGTTACTATGGGTCATTTTCTCTATTCATGACACAAGTGATGAAACCTCAACTCAACTCAAATCTATTTTCCATGATTAAAGATTCAACATTGGGGCGCCGACAGCCTTGCGGATAGTGTGTGCGCTCTGTGTACAGAGGCTTAGTGCTTCAAAGCGGGCGGCCCAGGTTAAAGGTCTGACCTGTGGCACGTTCCCCGCATGTCGATCCCCACTCTCTCTCTCTCCCCACGGTTTCTGGCTCTATCCACTGTCCTATCTCTAGACTAAAGGCATAAAAAGCCCCAAAAATAAATCTTTAAACATACAACGCGACTTGCTGGAGTCTCAGTGAGGATGTAGAATAACAGCATGCAACATGCTTACAATTAACCATGTTCATGTTGAGCATTTTATCTTAAGGAAGGTCATGTACCAACATTTACTTTTTGACACGCTCTAAACACAAAGTACAGCTGAGGCTACAGAAACTTGACAGTTTTGATAGTCACTATCTTTACTTACTAACCACATCTTTTCCTGGGAGCTCCTGAGCTCTCATGTCTCGTAGGTTCCTCTGGATCGTTGGTGGACTTCCTACCTGAACCCTTTTGTTCCTATCCTTCTTCCTGCATCCTATCCCATCACCCCCATCCCATTTTTCAAGCCCGGCGTATTTTTGGTAAATTGCTGTTCATCTTGAGTCTGGTTTTGCGCAAGATTTCTGCCTCTTAAAAGGACGTCTTTTTTCTTGCCCCTGTAACTTTGCTAAATGTTGCTAAGTGCTCATGATGGATTAACTTTGGGTCTTGTTAAGACAGCAATGAGTGCAAGTTTTTGATCATCAACCAAATTATTGATCAGATGGTAGAAAGAATATTTGCACCAAATTCTCTATTAATCCATCCAACAGCTGTGAAGACATGTGCAGACCAGGCAGATAAATGATTGCACTTGTACTTTATTTAAAGATGTAAGACAGGCTGTTTATGCAGGGCATTAGATATCATAAAATATTATTCCATTTTTAATTAAATGCAATAATTGAAAATCCTTTACCTAAGGATTAGTAATGAAGATGGAGTGTTAAGGTTAAGTGCCTGAAAGAAAGAAGAGTTAATGAGTTCATTAAATGAAGGAGAAGTCAACACAGCCTGCTCTGTTATTGCTATACCACTTCCTGCATAAAAGACAGGAAGGACTCAGCTGTAATTAGATCAGATCTACGAGCCGAGCTCTGAACCAGACTTTAATCAAACAAGAACTTGTTACATTCACAGACAACTCTACACCTTGTTTTAAGGTTTATTTCGGGGCTTTTTATTCCGTTATTTTAGAGACAGGACAATGGATAGAGTCAGAAATCAGGAAGAGAGAGAGAGTGGGGGATGACACGCAGGAAAGGAGCCACAGGTCGGATTCAAACCCAGGCTGCTTCCTTGGAGGACTGTAGCCTCCATACATGGGGCGTACACACTGACAAACACCCTACCGGTTTCCCACCTTTTACTTTATCAAGCAAATAAGCCTCATTGTTGCATTTCTGCAGCACACGGCGAACCAGGTCAGTTACTGGCAGCTTTAGAACATCTTAATATAACTACTACTGTACCTCGATTTTATGCAATAAATAATCTGCACATGGGAAAAAGGACAAGAGGGGAAACATGTTAGCATATAGAGGTTATAAAACTGCAGAAATAAATGATGAAGTGTTCAAAAGTGACGGTGTTTGCTGTCCTAAATGCCTCCGGCTTGATTTCCCACAGTCCCCAGAGTCTGATGGTCACTGCAGCTGTCAGCTGTGGGACAGAGAGACTGTCAGAGCAGTCTGATTATGTCTGAATGTGCTGTGGCTCATAAGGAAAGGCGCTGAGATTACTAGCAAACAGAAGGAGTGATGGGAGGACTGTCAGTCCTGTAGTCACTGCAGTTTAGGTTTGAGTATTTGTTCACTGAGAAACAGGGCTATTTGTTCATGGAAGAAAAATGGAGGATTATAAAGATGTTTCTGCTCTTTAACAGGCAGAGCAAAAAGGTTTCCATAACTATCACAGGCCGTCAGCTTTGACAGCATTATTTAAGAAAGAAACTTGTGATCTGATGAGAATTATAAACGTCAGGATTGACTTTGAAATTGATTTAGCATTAAAGGAGGGTACTTTTTATCTTCTTCTTCTTCTTCTTCTTCTTCTTCTTCTTCTTCTTCTTCTTCTTCTTCTTCTTCTTCTTCTTCTTCTTCTTCTTCTTCTTCTTCTTCTTCTTCTTCTTCTTCTTCTTCTTCTTCTTCTTCTTCTTCTTCTTCTTCTTCTTCTTCTTCTTCTTCTTCTTCTTCTTCAGCTCAAGCACGGCTACGGTGATTTTCTTTCTGTCATTATTCTCTCGACACAGAGATGGCTCTAACCTTTGTAATCCTGAGGAACTCAAACATTTTACAGTCCCTAGCTTCCCTTTGATCTCTATTTTCACATTCTGTATGAAAATGTAGGAACTTCATGGGACAGTTTTTTTTTTAACTCGTGGAGATTAAAAATATCTTATTTAAAAGAGTGTCCTGACCGAGACAGACATCAGCACAATGTCAAACAAGCAACGAGCAGCCAAACATAGAAATACTAAAAAATCAAAATCAAAAAACGTCCCAAATCGGAATCTGCCAAAATCAACCGGTGTGAAAACCTTCATCTGGCGTTGATTTGAAGCTGCAGCTGCTGAGGAGCTGCCTGTGAAAAGAATACTAGAGAACTTAATTTAATTGAACATTAGATTGCAAGCGAGCCAAACTCGTCTACTTATCTCTGATTGTTAGTAGATAAAATTCTAACATTGATTTGTATGAAAAACACAATTTAATATAGAGCTGGATAGAGAAACCACCAGAACACTGAGTGCAGTACTGCAGTGACGACATGGAGCAGAAAACTAAACTGAATTTATTAATATACACATACATCACACAAAGTCACACAGACACACAGAGAGATAAACAGACTTACCTTGGAGGCAGGCGTCGTGTCCACCGTGGACGAGGTGATGGCAGTGGAGGCCTCGCTGACGGTGGTGCTGGACAGCTGCTCGCCCGTGTGTTTGGACATCATACGAACACCCTGAGGCCTGGACAAAAGCACACACACACACACACACTTTATAACACACATTTTCCAATCTGATACAGCAGGAATAGAATTTCTTTGTGGTGGTTATGAGTAGTTTCCGTGTGTAGTTCCATGTGAAGTTCATTATTTCACACCTTTTCTTTAAAGGGCAGGACAATCCATGAACAAACCAATATATCAAAAAGACAGAATGTTTCTCTGAGAGTGAAGGTGAAGCAGGCGATTATTTCTGTGAGATGTTCAAACCAAGGTTCACATTTTAAACAACTACCAACTTGAGACATGATACGTAAGTTGGAGTGCACAGTCAGTGTCTATGGTGAGATTTTAAGATGATATCTGTTCACAGACATAAATCAAAATTGCTGTATAGGATTTTCAGTATTGCATAACTACTCAGGCATGACTCTTATTAAAAACAGAAACAGGAACTCTTTTGACACCAAAAGTCTTGTCCTTTGATTCATGTGCAGAATCTGTGTATAGAGATCAGAGGCAGCCTTGTAGATTAGAGCCCGAACAATTTATCAGCTAGCCGATAATATCGGCCGATATTAGCATATTAAGTGACTATCAGGATTGGCTATTTTTATCACCGATATGCGCCGATATCACTAGATAATTTCACCGGTCAACTTTCGTTTCATTTGAGTTTCATTGTATTACACAAGCAGTTCTCTTTCACCAGCAGAGGGCGCTATAAATGACGTCACAAGACTCCGATGAAGCCAGCAGCTGAGAGACAACCCGTATGGATGCCTACAACTTGGAGATGCTACCGGAGTTGACAGCCGACCAAATAGATAGATAGATTTATCTTCTTTTGAGAGCCAACTAAAATAAAAACTGAACTCATAGATGAAGCCTGGGCTCGTTGCGCTCCACAACGCCAGCGGCCCGGCTCGTAGGTGAGCTGATCCAGCTTAAGTTTTCCCTGTCAGGAGAACGAGTCCTTTCTGTCAAAGTCCTTTGTCTACTTTCACACTTCAGGTTAGGGCTAGCTTTTTGTCTTATTTACTGTATATGTAGCTTGTGCTAGCTCGTAGCAGAGTTCTTAAGACAAATAGCCACTGGGGCCACTGAATGACCTGAAGACATGTTGGCCTGACTCTGCTCCCTCTCCTCCTCCCACACACTACGGACGGGCATGAATAAAGTGTGTGTGTGTGTGTGTGTGTGTGTGTGTGTGTGTGTGTGTGTGTGTGTGTGTGTGTGTGTGTGTGATCTATTTCTCTTTTGCACCCTCAGGTTGATGCAGACCTATTACCTCACATCAACGCGTCTCTACAGGAAGCTAACAAATAGACACATGAGGTAGGTTCACAGCAGAGAAATAAAAAGTGCACCCAGCAGCAGACTGTCTGATGTAACGGTGTGTTTAAAAAAGATAAATGAGCAGCAGCTCTTAATCCCAGAGTGAACTATATAACACACACCCAAATATGACACTGAACACATTATGTCACGGTCTTAACATATGAATGATCTGATGTTCAGGCTTGGCGAGTGTATTGCTGTGGACCCAGGGAAGTGCAGCGCTGATTGTTAAGTTTAGATGAGCTTCTACTGATGCTAAAACATTTAAAATAGTTTTGCTGTGGCGCAACACGATGGGATCAAAAACCTACAGGAAACACGAGACGAGCGGAAACAAGACACGCCGCACAGTATCTAAAGAGACGTTGAAACATAAAAAGATGAACAACATGTCAGACAAACCCACACTGCAGTGCGGTGTGTTCAGTTCAGTTGCTCTCTGTTGAGGGTCTTAACTCCAGTCTTTCCACACATACATTGACTCATAGTGATGTTCCACGAAACACAGATCAAAAAAAGCAGAAGAAAAGAAGAAGCAGCTCTCACAGGAGATCACGTTCTTATTTATTTCTCAGTCCGGTCGTGTGTTTCGGATGGCTGTTTCTTCGGTTACCAAGGATACAGGTGAGGCGTGAGGGCTTTAAGTTCATTCCTAGTTATTATTATTTACACCACAGCTCCACAGAAACTACACACTGAGTCCTTGATGACCTTGATGATAGATTTCACAGTTTTCAGCAGAATTGACTTTGACCTTGAGGTGATTGAGTGAGCCATCAATTAAGTTTGTTTTGGCGTAAAGACTGTGCAAAATGTTTATGGTGATTGAATCATGTTTTGTCTGTTTTGTGGAATCCACTCAAGAAAGTTAACAAACAGTATTTCTGTCATAACAAATTAACTGACGGCTCACTCAATCACTTCCGGGTCACTTCAGACATTTTGTACATTTCTTATCTGGATAAATTCTGAGGTTTGTAAATCTGTTTGGGGACCGGCAGAAGTGTAAATTTGTCTCTGCGCTGGTAAGAGTTTTGCATCTTGTAAATCTGTTCACCAAAATGTACATTTGTCTCAAGCTTTGCAAAATTTGTTTCACACTTTGTAATTCTGGCTTGCATTTACCGGCCACCGTATTTTAGGAATTAAGTACTGAAAAATATTCAATTGTTTGCGTTTCAGATGTAAAAGCTGCACAGAAGAGGAAGTGTTGACTGGAAGCTGTCTAACGCTCACCGCTGCCTTCATGGATAGAGGATGACGCAGCAAAAACCTTTTCTTGTTATTAAGAGATAACTATCTCTTAAATTAAGAAAAGAGAGCAGATTATTTCTCTCTCAAGTGAATGCAGTCTTCTTTTGTAGTAAACGTATGTTCATTTGATGTTTAATCTTCCTCTTCTTATTCATAATCCTGAGAGATTAGCTAACAAAGCCCACAAGGCTGAAAACAAATTATTCCGAGGAATAATCAGCATGAAGATGCAGACATATCACTTTACTGTGAGTGAAACATGATATCTTAAAGATTGACTTTGTGCTGCAGGTTTAATAAAACACATTGTATTTGTGCTTGTTACCCTCCTGAGTGTCTCTGTGCGTGCTGACGGGCCCGTTATCTCTGCTGTCTTTACCGCGCTCAGACAGATCAGACGTTCCAGGCTGGATGTTTTATTGTCGACGAGCTGACAGCGGGCGGAGCGTGCGTGTAAATCTGTCTGATTAGTTTCAGAAGAGAGAACACTGGCGCTGCATGTGATGCATTCTTTCATCCGAGAATCCAAACTAATTACCACGTACAACATTTTCTGTCTGACACACGGCCTGCTGCCTTTTTCAAATGGAGCCAAAAATTCAACATTTTCTTACACTAATCCGTGTTTGTTTGTCTCTGAGGGATCTCTATAGGCGGCTGTGGCTCTGTGGGTAGAGTCGGCCCTCTCCCAACTGGAAGGTTGGGTGTTCAATCCCCAGCTCCAGCTGCCACATGTCCAAAGTGTCCTTGGGCAAGGCACTTAACCCTGAATTGCTCCGCTTCGTCGTCAGCGTATGAATGGGATTAGTTACTCCTGATGGTCACTTTACACAGCGGCCTCTACCATCAGTGTGTGAATGTGTAGGTGTGACCTGCGGTGTAAAAGCACTTTGAGTAGTCAGAAGACTAGAAAAGTGCTATACAAGCTGAAGTCCATTTACCAGTGATAACTGCTTTATAAGTGAACAAAATATGCTCTTTTATATTTAAAGGGATCATTAAAAACCTGGTAGTATTTTTGAATGGTCGTGCATCCCGCCCTCATTTCCCCCTGAGACGGGAAAGCTCCGTATTTCTTGTCTGAAAAGGAGCCTCCGATGAAGCAAAAATCGTGATTTTGCGTCATTGAACGCTGCTTTGGTTGGAGGGGGTGAAACTACATCGCTAGTTCCTAATGTTTCAACCCGCCCACAGGGGGAGACCCACTGATGCTGCAGACCTATTACAGATTAGTGGGTGGGACCTCACTCCCAGAATCTAAAAGCAGAGTCCGTCTTGTGCTTGAATCGGATGTTCGTGGCTATCTCTACGAGCCGCAATATAGGGACAAGCAGTTGAGGCTGATGGAGTGGCCTGCGGAGCTGTGCATTCTGGGAGTTGTTGTCTTTCATCCACATGAGCCGAAAAACCCAATGTCCATACAGATTCATGTTTCTACCGGTTTTTCTCTGTTTGCCATCCTACGTGCATTTCTCACTCTCTTTTCTCTCACAAATAGAACGACTGAATGTACTCTCATCTCAGGCTTTCAAACTGCAGCCTGCACTCCAACACTTCAACACAGACACTACTTTCAGAACATTACCAACTTCTATCTGCAGATGCATAATGTCAATGTGGATGGAGCGAGAGAGAGAGAGAGAGAGAGAGAGAGAGAGAGAGAGAGAGAGACATTAGCTCTGTTTTCATTCTGCTGTCAGGAGAATTTCATGCAACATTTCTGAAAGGTCAGGAACTATAAAAATGTAAATGAGATGCATTTTCATCAAAGTCAAAGTCAAATAAAGAGTCCACAGGACGGACTCGATTTTAGGGTTTGATGGGACAAGAGAAAGTCCTTGTTCTGAGATGAAGAGCTCATCTAGGTTTTAATTTCAACATCAGGACATGTTCGACCAGTTTGTTCAAAAAGTTTCATCTGGTAAAAATAAAAAATAAATCCACAGAGGATCACATGATCCAGCTCACTTTCATTCCGTTTGATCAAACTGATCCGGGTATAGACTTTTAATGAATGCTTTAAAGGGGACTTTACACTACATACTTTGTCCAAAGGGGGCGCCAAAACACACACAGACTGAACAATCCTCACAGCTGCTTTAAACAAGATATTTAATATTAGAAATTGATGCTGTGTTGTAAATATTTAAAAAGGACAAAAACCTCTTATTACAACTCAACATGAACCTCATCTACTTGGTCCCTGAAGTGATGCAGCATCCTGGGGCAAAATATATAATAAAAATGTCTTCAAATATCAACTTTAGCCCCACAAATTGAAGAGTTTTCTTTCACTTTTCCCCCTGTAATCCAGTCTGCTGGGATCAGAGTGATCCTGATTTTTTGGATCTATAAGTAATTTTACTCCTACTCTAAAGTTTTGAACAACACATGCAGAGGTTTTCTATTTATTTGAAGAGGGACAGT